CAGCTAAAGGTGGTCCTACAAGCTTGTGAATCATGGGGTGTACTTAGCTTTTTACACACTGCTACTATATTTTGGCCTAAATTTGTTAAATAAATAATGACACAGTGCAAAATGTCACCTGTCATTGTTTATCTAAAAAAAATATGATACCTATAAAAAGCTGTTTTATATGGTTGTACTCACTGCCAAATTCCAGAAAGTTCTTCATATAAAGGACTAAAAACAGTCCAAGGTAGTCTATGTCAGAGTAAAGGTAAAGACAGCACTTTATATAAGACTGTAACACCTGTACGTGTTTTATAAATGTATCAGTAGCTTTCCATTCACAGTCACTCGTCCATAAAAGATGCTGGCTGTGCCAACACCATATTCATAAATCCTCATAAATAGGTCCTACTGGCTGTGTGGTGTCTGGGCAAAAGGCGACAGCGGTGTGACATTTGATGGTTAAAGTCAGCCGAAATCAAACAAACAAAACATAAATCTGCTTCCTTTCTTTTGTTTATCTGTGAACATGTTAAAAGTGTCACATGTGAGAAACTTCTAGAGTCTTACGAGCGCTTCAGGATCAACCACTGAAGCAGGTCACAACTTCCAAACTGTCTGCTTGTAATTCTGAAATGATGAGTCCATCAGTAAAAAAAAATGACTGACAACAAATTTGATAATGAAGTAGTATTCATCAAGTAAAAAAAATCCATACACACCTGGTTCAACCCATATGGAAAAGATATATATAAATCTTATAAAGTTTGTATCTGTCTTGTGTGAAACTTATATGAAAAGCATACAAGAGTGAAAATATAAGATCCCTTGAACAATTATATAAATGAAACTTGTATGTTTTGGATACTTACTAAAGCAATATATGAAAGTAATTAGAAAGTGGCCACTTTCATGAGTAAATCATATAAGCCTTATATGATTCACTATATGAAGTAGGCCACATCTTATTCAAATTTTTACTATTTCTTTTCCATATGGGAATACAGCAATGGTCATATTGCATTACTTTCTGAGATTGTACAGACTAGCCAACCAATAAAAAAATAAATCACTTTTGGAAATCGCTCTTAATTATTGTTTGCACTATTA